CCTCGGGTTTCCAATGCTGTCAGTCTTGACGGAAGCTGATGCCCACCTCTTTCTCCAGCGCACTGACCGGTGGGTTCGGACCACCGGCCTTTTGCTTAGCAGCCAAGTGCTTTAACCCTTATGCCCCAGGCCGCCTGTTTTAATGATGCTGAATGGAAACCCCATGTTCGGCTCTCTCCTTCCCAGTGCCACGTGAACTCCAAGGAGGGCGCTGTTCCCTTCCGTTCTATGTCCCTGGTACTTGTCCCAGCGTCATCAAATCTCTTCCCACGCTGAGAAGCCCTGTCCTAGGTAGTCTCCCCAATGGTAACTGTGAGGCGTGCTGGGTGGCATCGTGGGTTAACCACAAGATCATCGGCAGTTCAAGCCAACCAGCTGCTCCTCGGGAGAAAGATGAGGCATCCTTCTATTGCTATACAGATTTATAGACTCACAGGCCCACCGGGGCAGTTCTACCCTGTCCTGTAAGGTTGCTGTCGGTCAGAATTGACTACCCAGCAGTGAGGTTCTTTGGAGAAATCTTTATCAGAGTAGACAGCTTCGTCTTTCTTCCACAGGACGGCTGGTGGAATTGAGCCCCGGACCCTGAGGTTATCAGCCCGGCACACACACACATATTAAATAAGAGCTTAGAGCACAAGTGTTGAGAAATGCATGGCTTCTGAGGATGCCTTTCAACCCAGAACATCTTTCTCTGGAGAGAGGCATGGAGAGGAGGGCCACAGGGTATGCTCAGGGGTGTTTAGGCCAGGGGATGTACCCAGGACAGAGGGTCTGTCTGGGGAAGCAGCTCTCCAGAGCCTGTTGGTCTCTCTGGCTCATGGTCCTGTTTCAGGCCTGGGGGGCGGACAGGTTTTGTGCTAACAGAAGGCTGGCTCTCCTGAAAGCGGCCTCCTGCCCCAGGGGTGCAAATGTGGCCCTTCTGTGCAGCCAAACCAGTGCTCACTGAACTCTGCTGGCTGCTGTGCCCCCGGGGCCCCTGGGCCCCCGGAGGAGGGAAGCAGGCAAGCCTGGGACTGACAACAGCATGACAGGGGCACAGGAGACCCCAAAGCCGTTCTCCCAGTCAGAAATAGTAATGATAGGCTCTTTTAATTCAATTTTTTTTAAAGAAAAGATTTTCTAATTTCCAGTGTAGCGTTGGCTTGCCGTAACAAGAAACGCTCACAGCACTCAAAGTGTGTGGGCCGGACAGCAGGGCTGCTCTTTTCCTCTGCCATAGATGAGCAGTTTTCCATCCACCTTCGCAGCTCTGCTGTGCTAAACCCACCCGTTGTTATGGATTGGGGGCGCCCCGAGCACTCCGGAGGAGAGCTGTACTCCGTCAGGGTTCTAGTGACTATGGTTCTAGATGGACAGAGACCACCAGGCTTTTCTTTCTGGGGCTTCTGGTGGGACTCAAATCCCCAACCTTCTGGTTGGTAGTCTAGCACATTTGTGGTTGGCATCCGCCAGGGGCTCTGTGCTGCTGCTGCACCCCCTACCCTCCACCCCCAAACCCAGTGCTGTGGAGGTAGCCGCCATCCCCACTCACGGCAGGCCACCACTCCTGCGTGTTCTGGGACCGTCACTCTTTCTGGGAGCAGGCCCTGGTCTCTCCCTCGCAGAGCGGCCAATGGGTCTGAGCTGCCCGCCTTGGGGTGAGTGGCCCTGCAGTTGGCTCTTTGGGTCAGCAGGGTGCATTCATTTATCTTTATTATTTTTATTTTACTGTGTTTTATCTTTTTGTTAAAAGATCATTTTACTGGGGGCTCTTACAGCTCTTATAACAATCCATACATCAATTGTATCAAGCGTATTTGTATATATGTGGCCAGCATTCTCTTCTAGACATTTACTTTCTATGATGCCTTCTATCCGCTCCTCCTTAAGCCCCCTCCCCCGCCAACATCTATATTTTAATAAGGAGGCCAAATGACGTGTGCTGTTTTTCGATGAAAACCTGTCGCTAAAGAGTGCCCCAGAGTGCCCTCCGGGTTGGGCAGATTGGAACAGCGCCATTGTCTCTGTGCTCAGCGGCACGCGCATGGCTGTTTAGCTTGTTGCTGGTTCTTTCTGACTGCGGTAATCCCACGGCACTGCTGGTCTCTCTGTGCTCCGTTCCCTGTGAGGAGGGAGGCCCTGGTGGAAGGTCTCTGCCCGGAACCGCCAGGCTCCCCGCCCCTCGGAAGAGGTTGCCTGGGGCGATGCTTCCCCGGCAGTGGCTGAGAGTGTCACAACCCTGGCTGTAACACTTATACTCCGTCCCTAAGTCAAAGCCGCCTGCAGAGGCGCGTGCCCCCTGACGTGCTGGAGCCCAGCACGGGGACTGAGGCAGACAGAGAGCGCCTCTACGGGAAGAGGAGGCGTCCTTTTCAAAGCAGTACCCACGTGGCTGTGACCCAGCAACTCCACTCCCAGGCTTGTCCCCCAAAGGACTTGAGAGCCAGGCACTCAGGGGCCTGCACGACAGCCTTCCCTGTAGCAGGACTCACGGTGTTCCGAGTCGGGAACCACCTAGGACAGATGGCCGGAGACCGCAGTGCGAGATCTGGCACCACCCGCAGAGGACGTTCTGATGCGTGCTGACGTGGATGGACCAGGGGCACCTTAGGCTGAGAATAGAAGGCAGGCACCAAAGCGCCACTCTGGATGACCTCACGTCCCTGAAATAGCCAGAATGGGCAAGTGGGGAGAGACAGCTGGGGCAGGTGGGAAGAAGAAGTGGGGGCCTTGCTTCAGGGCACTCCTACGAGTGTTTGGTAGGAGTGGTGAGAAATGTGGACACTGGATTGTAGCACAGTATGGCGATGCCATTATTGCCACTGTGCACGTAGAAGCAAGTAGCTGGAGCAGCAGATGTTTATCCGGAACATACTGTATATACTCAAGTATAAGCCAACCCAAATATCAGCCAAGGCACCTAATTTTACCACAAAAAAACCGCATTAAAAATGTGCTGGAAAAACTCGGCTTATCCACAAGTATATGTGGTACGTATCATCTGTGCACGTCATCAGAATAAGACAAAACAGACACAGGTACTTGGGAAATTGGAGGCGAATGGTACCTGGAAGAGCGGCAACGCAGGCACCGAGAGGGTGGAGGGTGGGCTGGCCGGACAGCAGGGTGAGAGGGACCCTGGAACCCAGCGTTGGGAGACTGTGTACCAGGCCTTGGGGCTTGGCAAGGGAGCACCGTCCTCAGACCCACTAGTGAGAGCAGCCCCTTCTCCTGCAGAAAGCCAACAAGGGGCAGGGCCGGGCCATCGAGCGCCTGAAAAAGAAGATGTTTGAGAACGAGTTCTTGCTGCTGCTCAATTCGCCTACCATCCCGTTTCGGATCCACAATCGGAATGGAAAGGTCAGGAATGGCCGGGTGGGACACAAGCAGCCCCTTTCGTTGGTTCCAGGGCTGCCCACTCAATGGCTCCCTCCCTCCCACTCACCCCAATCCCCACTGGGCCCCAGTTCTAGACTCCTCTACCCCCTGGTGTGCAGCCACTGCCCTCTGCTGGCTATCACCGGCACTGCCGTTTTTGTTGCTTCACTCCCCACTGGAAGGAAGCATCTCTAAGCCCCGGACTGATGGCGCTGTGTGTGGGGTGGTGGCAATGAGGGAGGAGGGGGGACAGGATCCAGGAGTAGGTTTGGTGTCACCATGGTCACCCCACTGAACTCTTCCCGCCTCTTTTCAGAGCTACCTGTTCTTACTGTCCTCGGACTATGAGAGGTCGGAGTGGAGAGAAGCAATTCAGAAACTGCAGAAGAAGGGTATCCATCCCCCCCACCCCCCTCCTCCTCTGCCTGCCCTGACCGGGGATGGGAGCCAGGGGTGGACATTCATGATTATGCTTTTTGATTCTCACAGTCACGTAGCAAGGTGTCAGGGGAGGTGACCCTTCATTGACTGAGGCACAGCGAAGTTTAGTGTTTTGCTTAAAGCGTGCAATGAACCAGCATTCGGACTGTGTCGGGGTGAGGGGGCCCCAACACTCGAAGGTGTCCTCAGGACCGACTTTGCAATTGTGGAAAATATTAAAGACAGACAGACAGCAGGGCACAGGGGCTCCTCGTCCCATGTCAGGACTGAGAGCGTGAATGTATTTTCCAGTGGGTGTATATAATGGGGCTTATAGATCTTTCATTAGGCGTGCATGTCATACAGCTAACATCCGACATGATCAGTAGGTAATATAAGCAGGTAATGCAGCAAACAAGCAATCAGATGAGTCAGCATCTTGACCTAGTGATAGTTTACCTCGAACCCCCCTGAGCCTTCCCCAGGGGGAGTAATCTCTGATCAGTATCAATCAGCAAGAGATGTCAAGATAGAGTTTGCAGCATTTTACGGTGGGCTGGCTCTAGAACCTGATGACTTTTATCTCCAGATCACCTTTTGGCATGGTGAATTAGCCGACACAGAAATGATTCATCTTCTGCAGCAGCTCCTTTATGACAGCTCCTTTATGGGGGGTGTTGGAGGGACTGTGTCCAGTCATGGCAATACAGATTAAGACTTATTTATATCTCATCACCGTGAGAGTCTTCCCCCACCAGAGTCGGATCTCCAGACCGCCCCAGAATTACAAGCATGGATGGTTTAGCTGCGTTACATTCTCATCCAGTCTCCTGCATGAGGCTGTTCAGTTTCTCTCTTACTCACACGCCTGTCGTTCCTCGACACAACTGTTCCCACCCTCACTCCTCGGAGAGCAGCCACGATGGTCCCCATGTGCGTGTCTACAAGGCTTTCAACCCCGCCACCAAAACAGATCCCTCCCTAGAGCCAAGCTGTGTTGTGGAGCAGCCCCCAAAGAAAACCAGCGGGTCTTAGTGGACCTCTGATGGTATTCTGCTTTTGTGGGCTCTTTCTGCAGACCTCCAGGCCTTTGTGCTGAGCTCGGTGGAACTCCAGGTGCTCACGGGGTCCTGCTTCAAACTGAGGACTGTACATAACATCCCGGTCACCAGCAATAAAGATGGTAAGATCCGGGAACCCAGGTTGTCCGACCAGCTGGTCCGGGGCCTTGCTGGTGCCCTTCCATAAGTACACAGCTGGTGGCCTGACTGCAGATGGCTAAGCTCTGCTCAGCTGGGCGGGGGGGCACTCGGTACTCAGGTCTCCGGAGCTTGATGGGGATCATTTCCCAGTGAAGTTTGAGCCCCCGCCCTGACATGGCTCCCCCAACTTCTTCCTGCCCTCCTGGGCACTGGGACCCCATTGTTCCTGTGTTGTGAGGCAGTCAGATAATGGCGGTCTTTGCTCCCAGAGGATGGGGCAGTGGGGTGAGGCCAGATGGACGGGAGTAGTGTGTGAGCAACAGGGCCAGGAGGTTGCTGAGACGAGACTGTGGAAGGCCTTGCGTGCCGCGCAAGGGAATTAGGCGTTCATGCTGTACGCCGGGGGACGCTGTGGTGGTTTTGAGCTGCTGGGAGTCGTGACCAGGGCTGGGAACTGACTCCAGTTGCCCACCATGCTGGGGAAGGAGCCCACTCTGGAGGCAAGCTCTTCTGGTACATGGAGGTCCTGTAACGTCCCTGGTGCCCGAGCCGGGACCAAACAGCACCAGCTCACCTAAGTGCAGGGCCGGTTGTACTGGCTCATGTTCACTCTGAAAGCCTGGGTCAGGGAGGGCAGCCAGGGTCCAAGCAGGATTCAGAGGGGGCAGGGAAGGGGTCCCTGGAGAAGGAAATGAATGAAGCCCCTAGCCCAGGAAGCCCGGTGTGGCCTGGAGGTCCAGGAGGTGATCGGCTTTGGAAACGTTTTCATCTGGCCACCAGGTGGTGCTGTCGGATCATCTACCTCCCCGACAACCTGGGCTGGGGCTGGGGATGCAGGTGGTTGGAAAGCACCCCTCATGCCCCACCCCACCCACCGCTGCCCTGGGGGCTTTCCTTTCCTGCAGACGACGAATCTCCGGGACTCTACGGCTTCCTTCACGTGATCGTCCACTCAGCCAAAGGGTTTAAACAGTCAGCCAGTAAGTGCCACCAGCTGACCAGAGAGGTCGGGCGGGCCATTCAGTGCAAGGTCCTATGTACCTGTTAGGTGGGGTCTCCCACTGCCCACCTCTCCTCACCTGCACCCCGCTTCCCAGGCCTGGGCCCTGCCTGCAAGCCTCCACATACTGGGCATGCTCCCAAAGACCAGGAAATGGCTCTTCTTGGCAGGGGGATCTTCCTTGCTACTGTCTCCCCCCCACCTCCTCCCACCCCCAGGTATCTCGACTGTAGTCCCACATCTGCCCTTTACACGCCATGTGACCCTGGGCAGGTTTCTTGACCTCTCCGAGCCTCCTCCTCCTCCATCAAAGGCAGTCACGCCTGTCAGCACTGTCCAGAGAGCAGGGTGAACCATGACTGTGTGAAACCCCAGCGCGCCCCGGCCCCCACCCCCACCGACCTTTTCCCTAGCCCCCCCTTGCTCGTTACCCACTAACTGTACACATTGCTTTTTTTTTTTTTACTTCTTATTGTAGTTTGGGTAAGAGTTTACAGAGCACATTATTTTGCTATTCAACTTAGACACATTCTGTTTGGTGGCATTGGTTAGATCTGGATGTAAGAACACTCCCCTCCCTTCCCTCTGGGCCCTGTTCCTTCTCACCCTTTTTTCCAGCGCCCGGGGCTTTTGGTTGGGTCAGGTGCTACCCTCAGATGGTTGTGGAGAATAGTTCTCCCTGGTGTGGTTGTGCACATTATACAACAGAAACAAAAACAACAACAACAACAAAAACCAGAAACAAACTCGCAGAGTGACCCACGGTGCAGGGCAGAGCTGCCCCTGTGGGTTTCTGAGACGGTAACTCTTTGCGGGAGTAGAAAGCCTCATCTTTCTCCATCAGAGCGGCGGGGGGTTTTGAACTGTCCACCTTTCAGTTAGTGGTTCAATGCATAACCCACTACACCAGAGCATCTCTTTGCTTTATAGGCTGAGGGGTGGGTTCAGCTCCAGGTCTGAAAGGTGTTCTTAAGGGCCACGATCCCAGGGGTTCCATCTCAGACCAGTAAGTGTGGTCCTTTTTTGTGATTTTGAATTTCGCGTTACATTTTTCTCCCACTCTGTCCAGCACCTTCTGTGATGATCCTGATCAGAGCAGTGGGTCGTGGGAGCCGGCCACCATCTGGTTCTTCAGGTCTCAGAGACTGTACGATGTATGGTCCATTAGTCCTTTGGACTAATTATCTCCTTCAGTCTCTGAAATCTGTACCTTGTTTAATGTTTCACAAAATATGATTATATTTCGTTTTTATTTACATAGGGCTTGGTGAGGGGCCTAGACAGCTTTTACTTTCTACCATCCGCCAGGTGAGGAAACCGAGTCAGAGAGATGCAAGGATCAGATACCCAGGGCTCCTGATTCCTCTCCTCTCAGCCCTCCCTTCCCACTCCCTTTTTCCCCCTCCAGTGGGGAAGAAGTTGTGACTGTGGTCCACAGTCGTTCAGTACGCATGATGAGCACCAGGGTAAACCAGCCTCCCCCCTCTGTTCCCCTCACACCTGGCAGCCCAAGGTTACCGCCCCTGCTGTGCCGGCTGGTAGATTATTATAGTCTGTCTCCCCACCTGTGAGTTCCCTGAGGGTGGGGTTGCGCCTCCTTTATCTCTGTGTGGATGGGGGCTCAGAGCCACTGAGTGAAGTCGCTCGTTTACCGCAGGCCTCCTGGGTGCCTGGGCACCTTACTGGGTACTGGAGAGAAAGGGAACGCGGGCAGCAGGTGGCCAGAGCCTTGGCCTGTTTGAAGCCTTTTCCGGCTCAGCATTTCTCTGGTCTTCCTGGCACTCCTCTAAGGGCGCTGGTCCCATCCCCACGTGACACGCGAGAACCCGAGGTTAGGCTCGAGTGATTTGTCCTTGGCTCACACATGGGGACACCCATGCCTTCTGACAACAGAGCCCAAGCTTGTTCCTTTAAGAAGTATGACCAGGGCCCCCTGGACCTCCCCCCATCCCTACCCCCAGCCTCCTGGGTTTTTTGGGGGGTGGGGGTGCTGCCTTAGGGGCTGCAGGCCATACCTCAGCCTGTGGTCACCTGGTGAGATGAGCCACCACACACCCCCAAGATGCTGGATGCCTGGCCCCACTCCCTCCATCTGCTTCCGGTTGACTGGGGACCGCCCTTGAGAAGCAGGCCTGCCTGGGGGGAGCATCCCACTCCCCAGAGCAGGTGTTCCATCTCAGGTCAGGTGGTTAGAAATGGGCCTGGGCTCTCCCTCGGCCTCTGGATGTCTTTCGTTCATGCCAGCCCTGACCCTCCCAAGAGTTCCTTCAGATTTGGGGCACCAGTCCATCTGGGCTACCACCCTCCACCACGGCCTGGTGTCCATTACATCACAGAGGAAGGAGCTGTGTGGCACGGCGCGTAGGGCGGCTGCCCAGGTTCCCTGGCTAAGCAGAAGAAGCGGGCTTAGGCCCAGAGAGCCCGGCTCTAAAAACCTTTCTTTTAGCCCCGGGCCTCCTAGATGACACTAGGGGACCCCTGCACTTCACTCCCGCCGTCTCCCAGCCTCTGACCCATGTGCTGCCACTCTAGCAGAGACAGGCCTGTGGGGTTGGGTACCAGTCACTGTTAACCTGCCCATGGCCCTGGCTCCCATGTACCCGTGCGTCTGCTCAGCATTGCACCCAGCTAAGACCCCTCAGGGTCAGCTCTGCTCCCTCCTGTGTTGGGCGGCTGGGAGCTGGGTGGCCTGTGCCCCATGTCTGCCCTCTGCCCCCTGGTCCCCGTGAATCACACTGCAGTGCCCTGCAGTGACCCCTCCCCTCCTCTCCCCATCCTCTTGGGAAACCACCTTGGGAGCTCGTTTGGGGCGGGGGCTGCAAGGCTGTGTCTCCCCCACCACCACCATCAAGGGAGTGTGCAGGCTTGCAGGGGCCCCAGTGGCCCCAGGGCTAGTCCCATTGGTGGGGTCTGTGGGTAGAGAAAAGAAGGCGTTCAGCCTTAAAGGACGCAGAGACAGACACTCAGGAACGCCCCAGCCCCACACCAGCTAGCTACCCAGAGCTCAACTTGAGCCGAGGCCAGAGCTTTGCACTCTCGTCCCAACAGTGCCCCAGGCTCTGGTCTGGGACCCAGGACTCCCCACAGGAGGAGAACCTGCCTGGTGCTCATGTTGTCCCGGCAGGAGGCGTGGCAGGGAGCAAGGGCAGAGGGTCTTGGGGCTACCAGCTGTGAACGGCAAAAGGAAACCAGAAGGAAGCTTTGCAGTGGGGCAGGGGCCTCTCTGGCTATCACAGAGATCTGGGGTCACTCAGCCAGAGGCCAAGCCTGCACCATGCCCTTTAGTGACGTGACCTCAAATACCAGCGAAAAGCCGCAGCTTCCTCCAGTTCTCTGGCCCGGGAAGGCCTGGGTTGGGCAGAGGTCAAGGCTGGGGAGGTGGGTGCCAGCCAGGGAGGCTGGGGGGTGGGCAGAGCGTAGGGAGGGGCTGGGATGTTAGGAAGGAGAGGCTCTGTCCCTGAACCTCACTCTGGCTGGGTGTCTCCACCCGCCCTCCCCCTACAGACCTGTACTGCACCCTGGAGGTGGATTCCTTCGGCTATTTTGTCAGCAAAGCCAAGACCAGGGTATTCCGGGACACGACGGAGCCCAAATGGGACGAGGTAAGTGCAAGGGGCAACTGGGGTCCTGCCCACTGAGGATGGCCATGCCTGCTGACTGGGCTTCCATGCCCACTAACCCACGGGCCCTGCACTCCCTGTTTGCTCGGCCTCTGATGGCAGCATTGTCTCAGCTCAGGCCCCCTTAGGCCACTGCCTGGCGGCCGCTGGGAACCCCAGTTTGCCTTGTAGCTGACCCTCCAGGCAGGAAGCTGTGGGCGCCGGCCCCAGAGACTCAGGACCCTCGGCCCCGTCTTTCTGCAGGAGTTTGAGATCGAACTGGAAGGCTCGCAGTCCCTGAGGATCTTGTGCTACGAGAAGTGCTACGACAAGACGAAGGTCAACAAGGACAACAACGAGATTGTGGACAAGATCATGGGCAAAGGGCAGATCCAGGTAAGGGTCCCGGGGACCAAAGTGAGGCTGGAGTTGCTGCTAGGAGGTGATGCCTGTTAGGAAGGAGCCCTTCCTCCATGCCGGCCCGTCCCGGCAACTGGTGACTTGGGTTTAAAGCCGGTTTGAGAAAAGTTTGGTTTTCTGCTGGCCAGAGGCTCACGTGTGGGTCTGCTCCAGGTGTGTGTGTGTGTGTGTGTGTGTGTGTGTGTGTGTGTGTGTGTTTCTCTGGGCTCTCACCTGCCGGTGGGTTGGTACCATTTTCCTTGAACACTGTGTTGATAAGCGTCTGCTATTGGCATGGGAGGAAGTGTGGGGCTCGCTCCAGTCTTGCCATCCAGCTGGAAGGGGCTCAAATCCAGCTGAGGCCCTGGGATGGAGGTGGGGGACGGCCGTGACTGCTCTGAGGCCCACACTGGGTGTTCCTCCTCTGTGTTGGGCGTACACTGGGTGAGGGCCACTTCTCTGGGCCTCGGCTGCGTTCTCTGTGCAGCAAGTGTCCATGGGGGAAAGGGCGCTGTCCGCAGCCTGGGTCTTCAGAGCAGGCTTTGTCTGGCATTGACTCCGGCTGCTGTTCATCCGTCGGGAGGGCCCGGGCCTCGGGGGTAAGGAGGTGGCATTGGCATGGAGCTGTGCACGTGAGTGGCCTGCCTTGGGAGTGGCTTCTGTGAGCAGATCCAGGAGGGCCGCACCGGGGCTTGGGCCACAGGCAGCAGGAGCCGTGCTGGCCTGGTCACAGCCGGCCGGCTGCAGGCTGTCCTTCCAGGAAAGTGTTCGTCTGCGATGCCGTGTTGAGACTGCCACTGGACAGCTGGCTCTTTCTTTGTCGTCACGTCTCCTGTGGACGGGGGGCGGGTGTGGACAGAGCGCACCGTCAGCTTTCCGCTCGGCAGTTGAGACGCGTTTTGTCTCCATCCATTGCCGTCCACTCGCCTTCCTGGATCCCACGGCCCCCCGTCTTGCCTGTTTCCAGCCCCTTCGCCTCTCCCACCCCTCGGCACTGTGTCCTTGGGTCAGTGCTGCCCAGGTAGCTGGCTCATGACGGGTGCCTGTGATGGCATTGCCCCTTGGGGACCCGTGTGGGCCTCCTGCTCCCTGCGCCTGTCTCAGGTTCCAGTGTTTGAAGAGGGAGGGTGTGCCCACTGGGGTGGAGGGGGCACTGGCCACCTGCCTCGGGTCGCCCTGCACTCCTGAGCACGCCGATGCTGTGGGACCTGCGCTGTTGCCAGGGAGACTGTTGCTGAGCAACCACCAGCGAGTCCTTCAGGAGTTAGGAAACGGGGGCTGACAGAAAGAACTCTTTACATTTGCAGTCAGGAACCTTCTCTCCGCGGGGACAGGAGCTCCACCTCCACCTGTGGGCTGAGCAGAGGCAAGGTCGGGGCCCACTCTGCCCCAGGAGACCCCCAGTCAAGAGACATGATTGGCCCACCCTCCCTGGGCCATGGTGACCATGGAATGGAAGGAGTTAAAGGGGCGTCTGGGCAGCCAGCTCAGTGGGCCTGGTAGGCCCTCAGCACCGGCATGTCCTGCTCTGTGGTGCCCGCTCTCGCCTCCGGCCAGCCCCGGGTCTTGGAGACAGGAGCAGAGGGAGGCCAGGCTGAAAAGGAAGTGTGTCCATGTTTCACTTCGTGGGACGTGGAAGGCCTGGGAGTTGGCATGGGTAGAAACACAGAGCTGCCCCCTGACCTGAGCCTATGAGTCAGAGTCTGTGGGGGGGCTTTGAGGTTCTCCCAAGGCTCGGCTCCCCAAAGGCACAGCTCTTTGCCCTCAGCCACAGTGGGGCCGACCAGCTGCCTGACAGATCTGGAGGACATGGACCTGCCCTCCCAGGGGTGCTGCCCAGTGTCCCATGTAATTGCCCTCTAAGGAGCCCCCGAGGGTGGCCGGACTCAGGGTGGGGGCCTGTGGAAACAGCTCCCATGTGCCCGGGCCCATCAGTCGGATGGCCCGTCCCCACAGCTCTGTCCTGCCTCCCCTCCACTGCGTGCACTTGGAAAAGGGTTGACCGCAGCCTCTGGGTCTTGGATCTGCGGTGGGGGCATGGGCCTGGGGTCTTCTGGTGGCCTAAAGAGAATGCAGGAGGAAGAAGCCCACCCAGAGACTCCCTAGGGACCCGTTTCCTAAGCACCAGAGGGTTTTGCCGGGTCTGCTGGGGGTGGGAGGGCAGAGGGGCAGCCTTTGGTGACAAATGACAGCACTAACGTTCTCGCATGCAAACAGCCTTGCAAGGACAGTGACTTCCCGTTGTACAAACGAGGACACTGCGGTCATGGGTGGAAACACCTTGGCCCAGGCGCCCTGCTGACAGTGTGCAGGACAGGACTTGGTCCTGGGTCCTGTGGCCCACATCTTTGTTACCAGGGGTGTCCCAGCCTGGGTGGAGGACTAGTGGCCTGGAGAAGGGGCCGGCCAGGGTGGTCAGCCCCAGTGTCCTTCCTTATGGTGGAAGGTGAGCCTCTGGTTTCCTGTGGCTGGAGGGGGTCCTTCCTGTTACTTCTGAGCAGGGTCACGCCGCCCAGCGCACCTGGGGTGACGCACCATGAGCCCGTGTGCAAGAGAGCAAGGGGGGAGAGGGTGCTGGTGCACCCAGCCACCCTGAGAGGCACGGGACCTGGCCTCCGATGGACTGTCAGATTCGAAAGGCACACGCATCGTCCAGAGTGTTGACATGCCAAGCTGCTGGGCAGTGTGCACTGTGGCGGGGGGTTATTCTACTGGTATTGTGACTCACCACAAAGTGTTGCCTGCTGTGATAGTAGAGGGCACTCGGTGACCGCCACCAGGGACCGGAGCAGAGCCTGTCATCCCATAGTGCCAGGCCGCCGGGCGTGAGAGCAGCTGGCACCTGCCTGCCCCGAGAGGACAGCGGGGGATAGGGATGTCATCAGCCACAGCTGTGAGCTCAGCCTTGTGCTAATGGAACCCTGGTGCTGGTGCTGCTAAGGGACAAGGGCTGGGAACCACTAGGTTGGTGGTTCAAACCCCCTCAGCCCTCTGCAGGAGCAAGATGAGGCGGCCTGCCCCTGTAAAACCTCACCCACTCTGAAACCCTTCATAGGCTCACCGCGGGCCGAAATCGATGGGATGGCAGCGGGGTTCTGTGCTAGATGTGTCCCCTTGTTCTCTTGGGGGGGCCTTCCCAGTGTCCTCAGGGGGGCCGGGGGTGCTGTCGCCCTTGTTCAGATAAGGAAGCTGGGGCTCTAAGGGAGTCAGGGATCCTGGTCAGGGCTGCTGGCAGCCCGGGAGCAGGGGAGCCGGGATTTGAACCAGGGCAGCTCCATGCCCTCCCTCCTGGCAGCTGTGCTGCTCCCCACGGTCCGTGAGGAATGAGGTGGAAGGGTGTGCCGGAGCCCTGCAGGCAGCCGGCGTCAGGGAGGCGGCCCAGCGCGCGGGGCCTGAGCCCTGGGTGTCTTCCATTAGCTAAGTGCCACGCTGGAATGAGAACGGCAACACGCCGTGAAGAGCAGCCACAGTCGCAGCCACCCTCCTCCCTCCTCCCTCCCTCCCTCCCTCCCAGCCTGCCTTTCCCTTCCTCAGGTGTGCACATTTTCAGTGCTGTGTCAATCATAGCGGACACCGTGTGTATTTATTGGTGGTTTATTATCCCAAATCTACCCCCCCTTGGTCCCCTAGGGCTGTGGGTGGTCTTTGTCATGATCTTCCTGGATCAGATGATTAGAAACGCTATGTCAATCGAGTGGAGGCTCGGTGTGGTTCTGGAAAGTGGGCAGGCCTGCATCCGAAGAAAGGAGTCGGGCAGCAGGGCGGGGGTACGAATGGCCTTGCCAGGGTAGGGAGGTAGGAATGCCCCAGGGGTGGGGTGTCTGGGAGATGAGGCACCCCCTGGCCTGCTGCTGAGGGGCCAGGCGGGCAGAGGCGGTGGGAGCAGCACCAGGAGGAAGGTGGAGACTACGAAGGACGGAGGTGGAGCCACAGTGTTTGCGGCCAGGACCCAGCCCTCTGCCGCAGAGTGGATTCAGTCCGACCCTCGGGGAACCGGAGGACGGAGACGGCCCCGTCTTCCCCCTGCAGAGCCGCTTGGGGGGTTCAGTGGCCCTAGGGGTTTGCGGCCGACTGCTGAATGCGCTGCACCACCGGGCCTCCTTTCAAGCCCCCAAACCATCTCCCTGTCACCGAGGTGGGGCTGACTCTACGGGAGTCGTATCTCCACGGGAGACGAGCAGCTGGGTTCTGAACTGCCGAGCTCTCGATCGCTGCACCAGCAGGGAAGGGGTCCTACAGACAGCAAACAGTTGCCATCAGCATCTAGTCCATCCTGCCTCGGAGCGACCCCGCGGGCCGTGTGCGGAGTAGACGGGGCTCCCAAGAGTGGTTTTTAGGGCTGTGACCTTTTGGAAGCAGGTCGCCAGGCCTTTCTTCTGAGGCTCCTCTGGGCAGGCTCCAACCCCCCACCTTTTGGTCGGTGGTTGAGCACGCCACTGTTTGTACCACCCGGGCATTCGAGAAGGGATCCTAGAGGCCATTGGATTCCCTCCTCTGCTTGTAGGACGAAGGACAGTGAGGCCAGAGAGGGTGAATGCTGTGCAGATGAAGTACTGGTAAAACTGTTTAAAAAATATAAAGGGGGTGGGGGTCAGTGATATGGCTGTGGGATCCCTCAGTATTCTGTGTCCCACCCCAGGTGGTCCCACCTGGCCAGCTACTAGAGGAAGGAGGGAATGAAAGTGCCCTTTGCTGGGGCTGGGGCTTGGGTGTCCATCTGTGGCTGTCAGAAGTCTTGTCCTTTGTCTCAGGACACATGAAGCAGAAGACCCGTCCTCCTTGGCTGGCCCCCTTCTCCTCCTCCTGACCCAGGGAGCATGGCCCCCAGCTTCTCTCTTGGGCCCCTCCTCCTCGCCACCCTTCACTCAGGTCACAGCAAAGCAAGGAGGGTTTCCTGGTCCCCAGGGAGTCTCGCTTGTTTGTCCCCATCCATTTGTCACTCCAGGCTCCAGATGTGCTGGCCCTGCTGGGACTGAGCCCTGGATGAGTAGCATGTT